CTGGTCATTCCCCCTCTCCATCACTATAGATGCCACTCATGCGATCTCTCACTATGCCTCTAATTTCCCCTCCCCAATGTTCCCCTGACACCCTCTGATGTGAGCCTGGTCCAGTGAAATTTAATTGAAGCCGGAAGGTCTTTAGCTGAGTGAATTGTGACAGCCTGGCAGTTATAAACACAAACTTGTAGGCAGTTGGGCTTTCATACCTGAGAGGTGCCTGTGCTTCTCCCCAGACCCCCAGGTCTGTAGGAGGAAACTCTAGGCACCAAGGGGAGGGGGACTTCTTTTTCAGCCACTGGTTTGAACAGCCACCTGTCTGACCCGACTCAGTTCATACATTCTTCTAACAGGCCTTCTGGAGGTCTGGTTCCCCGGGGAACAGGGTTGGCCAGCCCCTGGAATCTGCCATACAGCTTGCTGTTGTGAGCAGCTGCGGGCTTTCTCCCAGCTCTCCCCTCTGGTTTTGCATTTGCTCTGCAATGACACACTTGTTAAACGAATATTAGTTCAATTCTTGGATACCTTAAAACATTAGGTTGTGGAATTGGGCTTTCCCCCCCTTTTAATTGGATGCATATATACAGAAATATACAATCACACATGCTAGGTCCTGCTATTAGAGAAGTGAATTGGTGTTTGCCATATTTGCTTGTAATCCCTGCTTAACCTCATTCATTTTCTGCTTGTGGATGGGGCTACCTGGGAACCATTCAAAGAATCTGGCCTTTGTGTCTGACAGCATGGTAACATTCACGGCTGACAAGAAAATGACAAAAACCAGAAAAAGATACTATGAACCACGGATGTCTTACAACTCTGGAATACCCACTTGAATGTTGACCATCACTTTCTCGACTCTCCCTAGGGTGCTAAGGACTTCAGACCAAAGACACTTAAGTGGTTAGAAGCAGGAATTACTATCACAATTAGAGAAGCAAGTACTTTCCTGGAGAAAGTACTGGCCTGGAAATCTGGGGAACAGAGTTCTAGTCTGGTGTCTTCAGCCATTTAGCTGGATTCCTGAGCAAGCCATGTAACTAACCCTTCTGGGCCTCAGATGCCTCATATGGAATCTGAAGGGGGGGTGGGGAGGATGATTCCAGTCCTGTAATTCCAACTATTGGAGAAACACATGGAATCCATGTTGGAACAAGACAAACAAAGCCCAGCTCAAGTCTGAGTTTAAAGCTGTGTGGGCAGACCCCCTGCAGAGAGATTTCCTAGAGGGAAGAAGGAGGAAGGTAACAAACAAACAGATTTCCCACTTTCCCAATCTGGGCTGAATGGCCTAATTCAGGTGGAAGTTTCAGTTTACACCCACAGCCTGGTTTAGCTTCATCCAAAGCCAGTTTTGTTCAATAGCTCAGCAACCAGCTTCCAAGGAAAGTTTTACCAGGTCCCTCTTCACTGGGTCGTTTCAATTCATAATGCTCCTGAGGAAGTTGGCCTTGCCCTAAGTGATGGGTGGCTCCCTCTCCTCCCTTTTCCCTTTCTCCATCTCCCCCTCTCCCCTCTTTCTCCCCTCTTCTCTCCTCCCTCCCTTCCCCACTTTCCTCTCTCTCTCCTCTTCCCCTCTCCCCCTCTTCCCTCTTTCTCTCCTTCCCTCCCTTTCCTTCTCTCTCTCTCTCTCTCTCTCTCTCTCTCTCTCTCTCTCTCTCTCTCTCTCTCTCTCTCTCTCTCCCTCTCTCTCCCTTCTCCCCCCTTTCTTTGGCACTGTCATCCACATATATGGCTCCTATGCACCCTTACACCAATGACTCCAAAATCACTATAGATCCCTCCTCCCCCTAACTCCTACTGCCCTTGGGTTAAAAGCTCAAATTTCTGACTACCTATTGGACCTCTCTAGCTAGATGTCCTTCCAGAATCTCACACTCAACATGTATAAAACTAAACTCACCACCTTCCCCCCAACCCCCCCAAATCTGTTTGTCCTCCTAATTTCCTGTTTCTCATGATGGTACCACCATACCCACAGTCACCCAGGTCCAATATCTCAGTCATCATTAAGTCTTCCTTCTCCTTTATACCTCCCTCCCTTCCTTCCTCCTGACAATTCTACCTCTACAGCATCTTCTTCACATCCGTCCCATCTTCATCATGTACACCATCACTACCCTATTCTAAACCTTCATCACCTCTCACCTAGGCTATTTTGAGAGCCTCATAAGTGGTCTTTGCTGCTTCTAGTCTTTCCCTGCTCCCTACATCTTCCCATGACCAGGTAGGTAACCCCTCTGTCATTCTCCCCACCCACACCCCCAAGCACCCACCATCATCCTGTTCAAAAATTTTCAGTGATTCCTTACGGCATAGAGGTTAAAATACAAACTTATCAGTCTGACATTTAAGGCCTTCTATATTCTGGCTCCATATTACCTTCCTGGTCATATTTTACTATACTCTCTCTCCTTTTCATAGGTTGGCTAAACTAGGGTGTTAGCTGGTGTTCTCTGATCTTATCTCAACCTCTCCGACCTTTACACATTTACAAAGTCTGGGAACACTCTTCATATCTCCATCTTTTGAAAGTCCTTCTTTCCTTTAAAGACTACCTGAGAGGCCAACTTGTTCATGAAGTCTTCTCTGATTATTCCAGCTGAAAATAATCTTGCCCACCTCAAATTTCTTATGGGATTTTGGTAAGACCCCTCTGTCTTAATAGAATTCTGCCTTGTGTTCTACTTATTCATAGACATGTTGTATCCTTCCTACTAGCTTTTAATCACCATAAGGGCAGGGATTGCTTGATATTTTTTATCTTTGTATCTCTGATGCCCATTGTACCTTTTACATTGCTGACAATAAATATCTAATCAATCAAATAATTGAAAGGAAAGGGAAAGGAACAGAATGGTATATAACAACTAATAGCAATTCCTAATAATGGTAACTAATGACTTTTATCTAACCCCTTGTTTTCCAGAAGTCCTGGGATGTGTGCCCCTGTCTTTCTGAACGTACTTCTGAATGGTGGCCAAAAGAACGACTTGGAAGTAGAGGAAATCTGTCCCCAGCTCCTCCTTCTGGGCTCTTTCTTCCAACTTCCCCCAAAAGCCTGTTCTCAGATCATTCACACCCAACCAACCAATCAACAAGCGTTTATTAAATACCTATTATGTGCTGCTAGTGCAAGGTGGTAGGGATAGCAAGTTTAAATGACTGATGATAATTTAAAGCTTTAAGCTAATTTGATGCTAACGGGAGTGCTTGGAAGGAAGGAAGAAAAGGCAAGAAGAGAGGAAGGAAGGAGAGAAGGGAGGAAGGAAGAAAGGAAAGAGGAGAGAAAGGAAAGGAGGAAGGCGGGGAGAAAGAGAGGGAGGAAGGGAAGGAAGGAGGGGAGAAAGAGAGGGAGGAAGGGAAGGAAGGGAAGAAGGAAGGGAGGAAGGAGGGGAGAAAAGAAGGGACGGAGGAAAGAAGGAAGGAAGGAAAGGAAGGAGGGAAAGAAGGAAGGAAGGAAGGTGTGGATTGTCTTAAAGATAATACATTCTTTGAAATACCTAAAGTGATAGGAAATTTGATGGCACTCTAACCAGAAATAAATAAACATGTCTTGGTATTAAAAGTTTTGAAAAATCAAATTATTGTGGCTCCATAAATGCCACTGGTAAATAGAGGCTCATATTCTCCCTTTCCAGGCTTCTTACCTCTCACGCAGTTCCATGTACTCTTTGACACAGTGACACTGGCCTCTTTGCTGTTTTTCAGATAACACACTCCATCTCCGGACCCCAAGCATTTTCCCTGGCTGTCCCCCATGTTTGGAATCCTCTCCCTCCTCATCTTTGCCTCCTAGCCTCCCTGGCTTCTTTCAAAGCCTCAACTAAAATCCAGCTTTATTCAGGAAGCCTTACTAATCTCCCTTAATTCTAGTGCCTTCCCTCTATTGATTAGTTCCAACTTATCCTGCATATAACTTGTTTCTACATAATTGTTTGCATGTTGTCTCCCCCATTAAACTGGGAGCTCTTTGAGATCTGGACCTGAGGAAAGCATATTAGTGATCTTAGACCAAGGCAAAGGATCACCTCAGGCTAATAATAATGATAGCCTCCATTTACACAGCATTTTTCCAGCTACAAAGCATTTTATATGCATTGCCTCATTTCATCCTCCCTGGCAACCCAGGGAGATGGGAAGCATAAGTATGATTATCCCCATCTTACACAAAAGGAAACAGGTTCAGAAAGGTTTTTTAAAAAAAAAATAATGATGATGATAATAATAGCTAGCATTTACATAGCACTTCAAGGACTACAAATATTATCTCATTCTATCTTCACAGAAACCCTGAAGATAGGTGATATTATTATCCTCATTTTACAGAGGAGGAAACTGAGGCAGACAGGGATTAAGTGACTTGTCTAGGATCAGATTGAATGACTAAATGACTAACCAGAAGTAACATGTCCTGTGAGTGGTAGAAAGGGTTGTTGTTATTGTTCACTTGTGTCTGACTCTTCATAACCCCATTTGGGGTTTTCTTGGCAAAGATACTAGAGTGGTTTGCCATTTCCTTCTCCTGCTCATTTTACAGATGAGGAAACTGAGGCAAACAGGATCAAGTGACTTGCCTAGGGTCACAGGGCTAGTAAGTGTCTGAGGCCAGATTTGAACTCAGGAAGATGAATCTTCTTAACTCCAGGCTGGCGCTCTAACCAATGTGCCACCTAGGAACTTGACTCCAAAGATGGTCTGTGACTGAGTACAATTGCTTTATGTGGGCATGGCTATAAAAAATAAAGATTTATTTTCTGATATGGTTTTCCCCGTAGGGGAAGCAGCCATGAATTGTTAAGAGGGCCCTGGACTGCAGGTTTAGAGGATGTAGATTCTAAGTCCTACGGCTTCTATCACCTTCCCCAAGTTGTGTTACCTTGGGCAAGACATTTAAAAGCTCCCTGGGTCTGTTTTTTCATCTGTGAAAGACATTCTAAAGAACTTCTGTGGTTCTATAAAACCAGGAGCACACTTCCTCTACAGAGACAGAGAAGACTGGGGCTGCAGGAGGTTGGGGGGAAGGGGAACTTCATTCAACATGGAGGAACCCCCTCCTCCCATGCATTTCCATCCATCACGGTAAGGAATTTTGTCATTTATCCCAACTTCCCTTCTGTTCAAATTTTTGGACATTTTTGTGGTTTAGGTTAATTTTCTCTCCCATTTCATTGTTGGTTTTCTTTCTTTTTTTTTTAATTAAATATCTTTTGTTTTTCATCACCATTTCCTTTTTACCCTACCCAGAGACACAGCCTCCTGAAATCAAATTTTTAAAAAGCAAGAATGAGGTGGAAAAAGAAAAGCAGGCCAGAAAAAACTAACCAAACATACACATGCGGTCTGATTGCATATAGATGCAATTTTTCCCCATCCATAGTCCCCACCTCTGAAAAGGAGGGAGAGTGCGGCATTTTCTCATGTCTGCGTCAGGGCCAAGGTAGGCCATTATAAATACACAGGGATCGATATTCCTTTGTTTTTGGACCTTTGATTTAGGTTCATTTTTTCCGCTTGGCTCTCCTCGCCCTTTCCAAATGACTTTTGGGGGGCCCAAGGCAGAGGGGCAGCTGAGCCCAGGAACTGACTTCGGTTTGCGGGCAGCTCTTTGCGTACGTATGGCCCGTCCGCAGAGGGCGCTGTTCGGTCACCGAGAGCTGGACTTAGTCCGGAAAAAGCCTGTAAAAGTCATTGCCTGGGTGTGTTTCACTGCGTGGGCATTTTAATGGTATTTAAATGACGGGTGCCGGCTTTTATTGCTCAGTTTCTTTCCCAAATATGTTTCCAATTCATCTTGTATCACCTTTACATGGGGAACCCCTTGTTCCTTTTTTCTTTCTTTCTTTTTTAATTAATGTATTTATTCAAAGGAGGAGGGAAGTGGGGGGAGAAAGGGAGCTAATGTAGTGGGGAGGCCGGGCTCTGGTACTCTGGGGTGGGATGCACTAGGATGCTCACCCCCCTCTGAGAGTCCTTGGGGCAGGGGGCAGGTAACAGTCCTTCCTGCTCCTAGTTCCCGGCTCTCCTTTCCCTGGGCTGGCCCAGAAAGGAGCCCACGAGGAAAGAGGCGCTTTGGGTTGGTTCTTAAGAGCAAATACGAAACTAAACTTAGCCGGCTCGCCTTTCCTCGCCTCGACCCCCGGGAGCCCGGAGCGCAAGCAGGCGCGAGCCGCCCCATCCCTCCCGGGCCGCTCCTCGCGCTGGCTCCAGCCAAATGCACCGTGTGTTTCCTGCTCGCCAGGTACAGTAGCTAGTCCTGGAGAAGATTAATGGCTGGACAGGATACCAGGCCAGACTGGCCCTACCAGCCAAGAACACAAGAGGCCAAACTGAAGACTCTATTCATGAGAATTTTACTTATCCTGGCAGCCTAGCCTTTTCTTCCTGTCCTGCTCGGCTGCCATGGAGTGCAGACTGCAAGGCAGAAATATGCAGAGGGGAAGGGGGGAGGGGAGGGGAGAGGGAAGAGAAAGGAGGGCAGAGGGTGGGGGCGGGAAGGGGGCCCTCCCAGTACGGGCAGGAGGAAGCGCAGCCCTTCTCACTAAGGGACTGTGGGCTGAGTGTTGAACTAAGAGAATTTTATACCCCTGGGGATGAGTGAGGTGGGGGTGGAGGAAGGAGTGGGAGGAGGCTAGGGAGAGGAGGAAGAGAAATTGTGTGTGTGTGTGTGTGTGTGTGTGTGTGTGTGTGTGTGTGTGTGTGTGTGCGTGCGCCTGGCACTCGTTTCAGTGGCTTTCTGATGCTCACAAATGGGGCCTTCAGATTACTCAGCAAAGTCTTGGACCCCCAGTTGGGAAATCCTTGCAAGTGGGTGGAGGGAAACACATTTGTGGTGGCCCTGCCAGGAGTCATTGGGGTGTGGGGCGGAGAAGGTCTGATTTATCTTTGCATGTCTATCTGTTAGCTAATGAGAAAGAAATGCCCCCAGATGGGGACTGCCTTCGGGCGCTAATATACTCTCCTCGGTTGGAAACTGCCCCTCCTTCTTTGAGTCCACAAGGATTCTGCTGCCCAAAGAGGTTTGTTCAGCCTTTGTCTGAGGCTTGTTGTGGGACAGGGACCTAGGTGAATCCATGAGAGGCAGCGGTTAATAAGCTACTTGCACAGGGGGTTCAAAAACCACCCTAACCTATGTTCCCACACCCATAATGCGATCAAGGTGGGATGGGAATGGGGGGAGGGGCGGGCAGGAGCTGGACAGAAGCACTAGGGGGTGGGGCATCCATCACTTAATCAACGAACTTTCCTGAAGAAAAGCTAAGCTGCTCACTGAGATCCGGCAAACTGGGCACAGAATGTTTAGTAATAGGATTTCATGGTATCTTTCAGATGGTCAGAAACCAGGAAAAGTAATCTCCTTTTCATCTATAGGTCTTATAGGGTTCTATATGACTTGTTTTTTCCATGAAGCTCCTTTCATGATTTCTCCAGCTGCTAGGGCCTCCCTGCACACCCCAAATGATCTTGTGCATATATTCATAGTTGGCATATATTTTGTACTTACTTATACAATGTCCCAAAAGTCTTAATAAAGTTTTAAGCTTTTACTCCCTGTATTTACTTTACACCCTGTATTGGGTACTTTGTATGTATCTCTGTCAGTCCTTGCAATAGAATGTAAGACTCCTGAGGACAGAGACTTTATCTTTCTCTTTATCCCCAGCGGCTAGAACAGTGTCTGACACATAGTAAGTGCTTAATCAATGCTTGATGATTGTTGAGAGAAAGAATGCTTAGACCATATCCATCTTCCTCGAAGCTCAAATAATTTTTATCCTATACAAAAGCCTTATAACTCCCCATTATTCTGTTGTTCAAGATCCCACTTCCTTTCCAACCTGTCCTCTACTTGAACCCTCCCTTTTGGTCAAAATGACTTTCTCATGCTCCTTAAATATATCTTATACTTTTTTGATCTTGTACCTTAACATGCCTCTGCTTAGAATACCTTCTCCCTTCCTCTTTGCTTATCCAGATCTTATCTATCCTCAAAAAAAAAAAATTCAAACCCTCTGCTCTCCATGAATCATTTCCTAGAGACCTCAGTTTCTTTCTCTGTCTTCTTAAAATTTTGGAGTATTTACCGTCTCTTCTACTCATTTAAGATTTAAAGTTCATAATTTCTTGGTTACTTTTTCTTTTCATTTGTATATCTTATTTTCTCAGCTAGACTGTAACATAAGGTCCTTGTAAGCAAGAGTCAGTATCTTACGTATCTTTACAACCACTTCAGTGCCTAAGAGGGGCCCTCTGATGTGATAGGTGTTTAATAAATGTTTATTGATTGTTATGGTTGAAAGGAGAAAAAAATAGGTCATTGCAGTATAGTTCCCCAAATCTAAGCATAAACTCTCCCTTACTATAGAAGGGGAGAAAGAATCTCACTCTGCCCCTTGTCTAATTCTCATTGCAATTAGAGCAAAACCCTGTTGGCTGCCTGTGAGCATCCTCTCATCTGTAAATCACAGAGGGAGGGACTTAGCCATGCCCAGAGGGAGGGACTTAGCCATGCCCAATTACAGAACAAATCGCTTGGCTCTCTTCTTTCCAACTCCCCTCCACCACCCTGGATGATTGGAAGTGGCCTTGGGACACATTCCAGAGAACTCTCACAGTGGTGCTTCATCTCTCATTGCCTCCTGCTTCTCTCCTCTCTCCTACTCCTTCCTTTAGCCTGTCCAAAGGCATTTGCTGTGGGGAAGGGCTGCAGTGACTGCAATCCTTACACGTTTACAATGTGATTGTGAATAACATTGTGAGCTCCTAGAGAACAAGGGGTGTCTTTTTCCTCTTTTTTTGCATCCCTAACACAACACTTAGCTCAGTGCCTGGCACATAGTAGGAATTTAATAAATATTTATCGACTATTAAATTTCAATTCACCTTCCTGTGGGCCTGTTCTCCTGAAGGAAGAAGTTGCACTGTGGTATATGAGAACTAGGAACCCTGGTTTTGGAGTGAAAGGACTTAGGTTTGAATCCTGACTCTATTATTTATTAGCTATGTGATCTTGGTTGAGTTATTTTATCTCCTTAAGATAAAAAATGGTTGAGTTATTTTATCGTCCTTGCTTTTTTAAAATCTATAAATCAAGGAGGTTGGATTAGGTCATCTTTTAGAGTCCTTTCTATCTCTAATCCTATGATAACTATAGCTTTTCTGGTTGTTCTTCCTCTCTCCTGAGGCAGCATGGAATAATATTATTATACTCATATTTATATGGTGCTTTAAAGTTTGTAATGCTCTATGCACACATACATACACATGTATGTATATATATATGATTTTAACCTCCCAACGATTGTGTAAAGTAGTTACTATCATTATCCCCATTTACAGATGAAAAAACTGAGACCCAGAGAGATTAAATGTAATAGGCCTAGAATGGTCTGTGAGGAGCCAGTCCTTGACACATGCACAAATACTTTCTGTCTGGGTCCAACCCAAACAGGTCAAAACTTTGGAGAGCCTGTTTCTGGTTTTGAGTAATTCAGGGGTGGGTATACTGTAATGATGAAAAGTCTTTTAATTGGCTGTGGAGTAAGAAGAACTGAGGAACTGCTCAGGAATTGCTGAACTGAATGTACATACAAGAGGTGCAATCTGACCATCTCTAGGCCTCTCTTTGGAGGCTTTGAGTGGGGAGGTCTATTTTGATGAGGGGAGAGAATAGCTTGCCAAATTTCCCACCTAGCCAGTCTATGTGACTTTGTTTCTTTGTCATCATTCTTTCCCAATCTTAAGGGAATGAGTATTCTGAGATGGAAGTGCCCAGACACTTCTGGAGATCCAGAGGTTCCTCAGAGATCCCACTGGCAACTGGAGTCATTAGCAAAGTCCAGATGCAGCTGAATGGTTGGCCTAGCAGGAGATGACCTGCCAAGCAGAGCGCTGCACCTAAGGGAAACTTCGTAAGCACTTCCAGAGTCAGAAGACAGAAGGTGTCTCTTGGGCACACGCATTCTCTACAAGCATACCTCAGTACTATTATACTTTAATTTTGATCCTACTCTCTCAAAAGACATTGTGTATGCAAGGGGAGAATGCGCCTCCTATTTGGGGAGTGGTTTGTATCAGCTGTTCTTGCTATATACCATCTTAGTAATGCCATTTTCTATGAGTTAATTGGGTTCATTTGGGGTTCCACTTTGGGGAGGGGTCTGCCATCCTTTATCCGCCTCCTGATTCTGCTTCTGACTCTCCTGACTTTGATACCATGACTCTCCATGGGTGCCTCCTCCCTGCCCCTAATTTTCAGCTCCCTTTTATACATTGTCTTCCCCAACTGGAATAGAAAACTCCTTGAGGGCAGAGACTATCTTTATTTTCGCTTGTATTTGAATCCTGAGCATCTAGCACGGTGCCTAGCACATATTAAACATTTAATAAATGCTCATTGACTTGTTTTGTTGCCTTGATTGATTGATAATGGGGAGCCCACTGGTAGGGGCTTATGAGTGACAGTAGTAGAAACCCCAGACCTACAGTTACCCTAAAACACTGACTAGCAGTGATCCTTCCTCTCTTTGGAATTCCAATCTGTCATTGTGGGTGCAGGTTAGGGGAGAGGCTCTGGACAGGGTGCTACCTAAGGGCTTTGCTCATGATCACAGCCTCTAAGTGTCTGAGGCAGGATTGAAGCTTATGTCTTTCAGACTCCAACTTCATTATTTATCTGTGGTGTTGTGAATAGTGCTAAACTAGGAGTGAAGAAAACCTGGAATTGAATCCTGTCTTAGAGACTTACTAGCTGAATGACCCATGGGGAAATCATTTAACTTCTCTCAGCCTCATTTTCTTCATCTGTACAGTGGGAATAATAATAACTCCTACTGCACAGGGTTGTTGTAAAGATTAAGCAAGATAATGGCTGTAAAATGCTTTGTGAACCTTAGAGTGCTGGCTGGACACTAGATATATATGTGAGTTATTCCTACCACTAAGCTATGGTCTCATTACAGATCCCGGGTGCTTTGCTCCACAAGTCAAAGCACAAGCCTAAAGTGGAACCTGGAGTGGGGACAGGGCATGGGGGATGGGGCACAGGGCAACCAGCTTCATCTGACAGCTTCTAGGGGAACTGCATTTCTCAAGTCCTAACGAACAATTTCCAGTTGAGGAAACCCGAAATGCAGGAAAATAGCACCATCCAGGGAATTCCTCTCAGCCCAGAGGAAGAGCATAATAACCATAAATAATTTAGCTGCAATTAAAGTCCACTGTAGGTAGCCCTCTTTATAGATCCATGCTCACAAGGCAGAAATAAGACAGGATCTCAAAGGGTCAAATGACAAAATTTGGCCTACTCAGTATTCCCCTCCTCCTATTGCTACCATGTGCTTCCAGCAGACTTCCTAACCTCCTACTTCCTATACTTGTCATAGTATTGCCACCATAAATAAAAATCCTTCTTCCCTATGAGGTCCTCTGCTAGTCTCATCTTCATCCACTCCTCCTGTGTGGTTCTACTCTACTAGCCTTTTCTTCTGGGCTCTTTGGCATACTTTATTTGCGTCGCAACTTTTAAAAAAATGTTCTTTATATCTTCTTTGCTTAAGTGAAATCTGGCTTTCCACTGATAGCCTTACTATCCTTCAAATTCCCTCCAGTTGAAGATTTTTCTTCTCCCACTACCCCCTAACTCACAAATTAAGGAGGAGGGGTAGACATGTTCCTTGTTCATCATTGCAACTTCCAGACCATGCTTCAACATCTTCTTTAAAAGTTTGCTAGTGACCATCTATCTATTTGCTAGATGTCGTTAGTGGCCCTTTTTTCACTCTTCTCATTCTTCCCAACCTCATTTCAGTATTAATTTATGTAGCCCACCACACTTTCCATAGAACTCTCCATGGCTCCAGCCTCTCTCTTGACCCGGTTCCATGTTTCTGGTTGCCTATTGAACATCTCTACCTTGATGTCCATCCAGAATCACCTCAAATCCAATACTTGTTTAAAACCAAACACACCTTCTTCACTTTCAAATCAGTTTCTCTGTCTCTCTTCACTATTTCTATACATTTCATTAGCATTCTCTGAGATGCTCAGGCTTGAAGTCACTGAGTCATCTTTGACTACCTTCCCCACCCCCACCCACCTAACATCCAATTCATTATCAATTCTAGTCAATTCTACTTCTGAAATATCTCCCACATCCATTCCCTCCTTTTTATTTATTAGACAGGCACAATTTAAAAAGAGCATCTAGGTGGAATAGTAGATAGAATGACAGGCCCAGAGTCAGGAAGACTCATCATCCTGACTTCAAATCTGGCTTCAGACACTTATTAGCTGTGTGACCCTGGGCAAGTCATTCAATCTCATTTGCCTCATTTCCTCATCATAAAATGAGCTGGGGAAGGAAATGGCAAACCACTCTTAGCATTTTTGCCCAGACAGCCCCAAATAAGGTCATGAAGAGCTGGACATGACTGAAAACAATTGGACGACAGCAACAATTAAGACAGTTGGCCTTGGAACCAGGAAGTCTTGGTTCCAAGAGCTGGCTGATACATGGGGGTTCTGTGTGACCTTGATAGGTCAAAAGATCATAACTTTTGATCTAGAAAGGATCTGTAAGGCCATTGGTCCAATGCCCTCATTTTACAGATGAGAAAACAAAGACCCAAAAAATATCCCAAGGTCGCAAAGGTCACAAGGCTATGCTTTAAATTAGAACTAAGATTTGAGCCAAGGTCTTTTGATTTCCAACATCCTTTTCGTGTATTAGTGCAATGATTTAACCTCTCTGTGCCCCAGACAATTAAGGCTCTAAGTTGAAAATGAGTTGCCATTCTGTGTCTTTTGAGGGAATTTCTGTACTGGGAGCCCCCCACACTAATGAAGCATTGGTCATGCTGCTGAATTGCTATTTTGATCTTGGTGGTCATGAGAAAATACAGGAAAATATATCCTTCGCTGGCACTGTCAGCAGGAGGATTGATCCTATTCTGTTGACCACATATTGCTTTTAAAAAAGCGGATAAATTATTCCCTCAAGACATGAAATTCACAATTTTGAATATTTTCATTGTAGAAAAGAGCAAGACACCTGCAAGGCCATGACCTGTGATCATATGACCAAGCCATGCATTTCCCCTGGGTGGTGTGATGATGTTGGATTACTGTATTCTTTGATAGTACATATATTGTGGCATTTCGTGTTAATCCATATTCCCTAAAAACATACATACTCAGAGTTGCTGCTGTTATTCAGCTGTTTCAGCTGCGTTTGACTCTCTGTGACCCCATTTCAGGGTTTTCTTGGCAGAGATACTGGAGTGGGTTGCATTTCTTTCTCCAGCTCATTTTACAGATGAGGAGACTGAAGCAAATAGGGGTTAAGTGACTTGTCCAGGGTTACACAGGTAGTAAGTGTCTGAGGCCAGATTTGAACTCAGGTCTTCTTGATTCCAGGCCACCTAGCTGTCCTCACACAGAGTCAATTATAGGAAATAGATGAGAGACTAAAGGGGGAGGGGGGCAGCATTAGAAAAGCTTACCACATTTGTTATCTGTGACCACCCTGGGCCTCGATAACTTCTAGGACTGAAGTCAATTGGAAAGGAGTGGGATATGACTCAAATGTAAGTGAATATAAACTAAAGCCCAGGCTAGATTGGAACCAGGTACTTCTGAGGCGCTACTTTGGAGTCAGGAAGCTGGGAACAGAAACTGAAATTCAGTCTGGGGAGGTCAGCAGACAGGTCTCTTGTTCAGAGACAAGATTAAGTGTGTCAGTGAGTTGCCTTGGTCATCACAGAAGTTCTTCATTCTCTGCCTCACCTGATCTGACCTGATGTGAGTGGTCTCACCTGGGCCAGCCAAGGGGTGGGACCACTCCTTGAAGTAGGAAGAGCCATCGATCAGTATAGTACAGTATTGGTAGGGATCTCTAGACTGTATCACCTTAGGTGAGAGGATTTCCTGTCCTCAGACCTATTCATTTATATTTCTGTTTGGAATGTGCCACGGGCCTCATTATCTGATTCCTGGAATGTGAAATTCTGGGTTCACATTCCATTCCTCCACTGTACCAGTTTGTCGGTTCTTGATCCCCAAAAGTCTCTTAATAAGCTGTTCAGTTTGTCCCAAGTTAAACTGAAGAATGTCGGTGCCTCTAAACGATCTGGAGCCTGGTTTGCAGTTTTGTGGGATCATAGAATCCTAGATTTAGAGCAGGAGGGACCTGAGAGGCCACTGAGTAGAGCCCCATCATTTTGCAGATGGGGAAACTAAGTCTGAGAAGTTAAATGACTTACCCAGAGTCATAGAGCTAGGATATGTCAGAGGTAGATCATCCTGATTCCAAACACCGTGCTAACACCATCCAGCCTTCTCAAATCAACGCAACAGGCACTTATTAAGTACCCTATCTTAGCCTTTTACTAGGCACTGGGGATACAAATCAAAACAAAAACCATTCCCTGCCCTCAGAGAGTTTACATTCTATAGGGATCCAAAGACAGGAAGTGAGGGCCCGACTGGAAGAAGTAGGCTTGGCCAGACAAGCATGAAGGAGCAGACTTGCTTGGGTATGTAGGTCCTATGAGGTCAGAGTTCCCAAAGGCATTAGCCAAGCTAGGCTTCCTGTGAATGGTTAAAATGACTAGAAACACCTGTAAGAAAGTTCCTGGGAACTGAGAAGGCCCCAAGGTGCTTTGAAGGTTACAGGGGCAGGGTTTGTGTACTAGCCTTTGCAGGGCATGGCACAATCTCCCATTTTTCACATAATAAATACTGTCAGATGGCATTGCTGGTCTCAACTTTGTGCTGAGCCTGGAGCAGGCCCAGAGAGCAAGGGTGGGGCTTCTCTGGATCATCAGAGAAACACAAAGGCCCTCCCTGGGACAAGCAGGAGGGGATGGCTGACTGGGGGAGGTCCTGGGACAGTCACCCAGTCCAGAGTCCAAGCAGCTGCAAATGAAAGACAGACCCAGAAGGCACAGGCAAACACTCAGCCATCCTGCAGAGCCAAGAAATTCTGGCTAGAAACCTTACAACAGAGGAGAGGCACCGGGAAATGCTTGAAAACCAAGTGAGGCCCTTGTAACATTAGACTCCTGTCAAAAAGGGATTTGAGCCAAACTCCTTTCTCCCCTCCTGGCAGAAACACCAAACTGAGTTGAACCAAGAGGGCCAGGGAAGGTGGCGAAGGATCCTGAGGAGGGAGTCACCAGGAAGGGAAAAGCTCACGGGGCTGTAATCTTCACCCTTCTCTCTCCTGAGACACAGAGGGAAGGTTGTCCAGGACTTCAGAACAGCAAGATTGGGAAGGAGAGATGGCAAATCTTTTTCTTTTTTTTCAGACACAGCCCAGCAACCTGGACTCCACTGGTGAATATACACAAAAGTTTGTTGTGGAAATGAGACATGTGGCAACACTGGATCTGGCCAGGTACCAGTGACTGAGAATACAAAACCCCCACTTCCATTTGCAGAAGGAGATGTTGAGAAACTGTTGGGGAAAAAAGTTTGGTGTTACAGACCCTCGGTCCACAGGCGTTGGGCCATGGCTGAGACATAAGCAGACCCATTCAACACAGCTAAGAAGTCATCCTGCTTTGAGGGATGGGTTAATACATTTACAGAATTTGGATGCTTTTCAATTTTATAATTTCCCCACCCCTTTTTGGGGGTCTTATAAAAATGCAGAGAATGTCCCACAGGAAGATAATTTTCCAGAGGTCGGTGCAGAGACAGTGAGCTGATAAGCATCTATGTCGTATTTACTATATGCCAGGCATTGTGCTAAGCACCAGAGATATAAATAAATAAAAGTAGCATCCCTGCCCTTAAGGAGCTCTCGCTGTAACAGAAGAGACAACATGCAAATAACTACGTATATACACCATATATTTGGCATGAGAGGAATGGGAAGTCACTTCCAGAAGGGAAGTCACATGTTTTGGAGGAGCCTAGGAAAGGCTTGCTGTGGAGGGTGAGATCTGAGCAGAATCCTGAAGGGAACTAGGAGGCAGAGGGAGATCATACAAGGCACAGAGTACCCATGCACAGCCAGGGCAAAGCTCAAGTCAGGAGACGAAACGTGAGGGGAAGAGAACAGGAAATAGGCCAGCAGAGCTGGACTGTAGAAAGCTTGGAGGGGAGCAAGAGGGAAGAAGACTGAAAAGCTAGGGATGAGCTTGGCTGTGAAGGGCTTTAAATGTCAAAAGAACACTTATCTGGAGAACCTGGAGTTAATGTGGAGTCACTGAAAATTATTGGGACAGAATCAGGGGGTCCAACAGTCATTTTATGAAGTTTGTGCTCCAGTTTTACGTAATGGAAAAGGTTCTAGATTTAGAATTAGAAGATATGCAAAGACATTTAGCTGTACAATGAGGATAATGACAGTGTCCACCTTGCAGGGTTGTTGTGAGGATCAAATGAGATAATATTGGTAAAAAGTGCTTAGCATAGGGCTTGACACATAGCGGTTGCAATATAAATGGTTATTCCCTTTCCCGTATGTCTTTGCATTTCCAGGTCTAACATCCAGTGTGTAAACTAACTAACCACATGAACTTGAGTAAGCAGTATCCTTCAGTGGATTATAATAAAACAGATTAGACTAGAATTCGGAGGTGGGGGATTTGTTCCACGAAGTTTAGATTCAGTCAAAGGGTGGCCTCAAGGCCACAGGTTCCGCTCCCCTGGACTAGATGTCTTCTAAGGCTAACATTCTACGATCCTATTTGGTTTAAATCTTACCTCAAAAATTGAGTGCTCTGTAATCATAATAACCAAGAAGAAAAATGATGAATCTTTCTCTTCTTTCATCATAGTTGGGGGTGGAGGTGGGAGGGTTTATGGGTATGGAATATTGCATATATAGTCAGATGTGTTCATTGATTTTGCTGAACTATCTTACCAAAAAAACCCCCAAACAACCTTATAACATAATTGTAAAATAACTTATAATTTTTTTGTTGTTCGGTCATTTCAGACTCTGTGACCCCTTTTGCGGTTTTCTTGGCAAAGATACTGGAGGGGTCTGCCATTTCTTTTTCCAGCTTATTTTACAGATGAGGAAACTGAGGCAAACAGAGTTAAGTGACTTGCCCAGGGTCACACAGCTAATAAGTGTTGACGGCTGGATTTGAATTCCAAATATATAGTGTATGTACATAGTATTTGCATCTTGTCTCTTCCATTACTATGAGAACTTCTTGATGAGTATTCCTAACTCCAGGCCCAGCACTCTATCCACTCAGCCACCTAGCTGCCCCTATAACATAATATCTTATAAAAATAACTATCTTATTTAAACACACACACACACACACACACACACACACACACACAACTTTGGTAGGAGGAAAGGTTTGCTGGTCAGTGGGGGAGAGATATATTTGAAAATGAATGTGATCTGACCTGATAAATACCTTTGTGACCTTGGGGAAAATGTTTAACATCTCTGGGCCTCAGTTTTATCATCTGTAAAATGAGCATGTTTGATTAGTTGACTTCTAAGGTCCCTTATAGCTCCAGCTCATATGATCTTATCAATCCCTCCTCTTTATTTTGGGGCCATTATCTATTGCTGCTGTTTCTTTTACTAGGCTCCTCTCTTATCTTCCTTAGCCACGTGTCCTATGGCAGCCCTAGCTCAGCTCAGTTTGTCTGGATTACAGGATCATGGATCTAGAGCTCAGAATAACGCTTGAGGTTATTTAGGCCTTCATTTTGTAAGTAGTACCCTCCTGTGCAGCCAGTCCCCAAACTGGGCATTAATGCTCAAGGTTGGGGTCCCCAGAGAACAAATGGCTACTTCTCCCCTTAAAGTTCTAGGGATAGTCCTGAGGATATGAATTTCTTACACTCTAGATTCTGAGCCCCTACTGGTGTGTATAGGTTCAGAAGCTAATTAGTCAGTCACACTTCATTAGCTTTCAGAAAATGGATTTACAAAGAAGGTATAGTAAGAACATTTTGAACCAAATATCCCACCCCTTCCAAAGCCTAGTGTATACTCCCTCACACATACACACAGAGTCCATGGGCAGAGTGGGCAATGTTAAAGTGTGATGGAAGCTATCCACATGTGTAAATAATACATGTGGCAGAGGGGTACTTCTCAATTCCTGGCCTAAAAGTGCTTTTCCCCTTTTTCCACCCTCATGAAGTTTGTTGTGGGGTTTAGTGTCAGTGATGGTGAGCCGCTCCTCTGGGCTGGTTCCTCAAAGACTGCAGCATTTCTGTTAGACAGGTTAATCATCTACCAGGTTGAGAACAATCTGCTGCTGGACCAGTTTACTTCTCCACTGGGTCAGGCTACTCTGCTGCTTCTGGGACTCTTTTCCTGAAGCCTCCGCCATCCTTGTGTGACCATTTTCCTGCCTCTGTTTACAGCTGTCCCCACTGCTGTTGACCAATTGGTTAAGACTGCCTCCTCTGGTTTAGACATCCTAAACTCGCAGACTGTGGTCTGGACACATCTTCCTTGAATACTCCTTCATCTAAGATCAGGAAAGAACAAAAAACAAGAGAAACAGAGGCAGACGTGTTCCTGAACAGAGGCCAGAGAGAGAGAAAGCTCTTGCACCCTTCTTGGCTCTGAATAGCTCAGGATCCTGCCACCTTGCAGCTACAAAGGGAAGAAACAGAAAAATGGGCAGGTTACCTTCTGAACCCTGTCATCATCAGGGGTCATAGAGGGAGTCCATCTAGACAAGGCCTGAACATGATTCTCTTGTGTCTCAAAGAGGAGGAGAGAGCAAAGGAAGGTTAGGGGAAAAGTATCTCATGTAATCAATCAAATAGATATATTTGATATAAATAATCAAATAGACATATATGCAAACAAGGAGGAGGGTTTGGGGAGGAGTTGATAACACTTGGACCTCACTCTTATCTAAACTGGTCAAGAGAAGGAAAATATACATGCAAACACAGACACGCACACACAATTGGGTATAGAAATACATTCCATTCAACAGGGAGCTAGGAGGGAAAGGGGAGGGGAAGGGAAAGAATTAGAGGGAGGGTAGATCAAGAGAGAAATTAATCCCAAGCAAAGCAAACTCTAAGGATGCACAAAAATATTGATAGCTCTTTTTGAGATTGCAAAAATGAGAATTGGAGGGGGTGCCCATACATTGGGGAATGGATGAACAAGTTATGGTATATAGATATGATGGAATACTATTGTGCTGAACTCTTTATCAGCATGATGACTAGCCATGATTCCAGAGGACTCATGATGAAACATGCTACCCCACCTCTCGCTAGAAAAGGTGAAGGACTCAGAATGCAGAATGGGACAATTTTTCTTTTAGACATGACTAATGTGGGGATTTGTTTTGATTGTCTCTACGTGTTTGTAATGGGTTTAATTTTTCTTGTGTTCTCAATGGAGGACAAGGTTGGAGTGGGACAATGAGAAAGTAGATCTTGGCCTATTAAAATAAATATTTTAAAAAAAACAAACAGCTCATCTCTTTTGTATGCACGCTCTGTTCTAAGGAGCCAATATTTCTTCCTGCTCAATAGTCAATTAAGAGATTTTTCAATACCACAAGGTACCAACCCTTGAGTCACTTGTGGTTGCTTGACCTGAAACCAGGCAAAGAATATCAAGAACTGGACGTCAAGGTGCCATCCACCCCCATGACATGCAGATGAGGACACTGAGGTTTAGAAGGGCACAGTGTCAAATTGTGTTAAGCTCCTAGAAGTCAAATGCCAGTGTGCTGGGAGTAGAAGGAAAGATTAGAGAGGCCTGGGAAAAGCAGGTCCATGTACAAAGTCCAGGAGGGCAACCTAGCTCATGGCAATTTGCCCTAGGAAGGGCTATCCTCCACTGCTCCCTTCTCCTCCCTCCCATTGCCTTCTCCTATTCCAAGCCAGAGTTGAATCCCAGGGGGAGGATTTGGGATGGAAAGTATGTATTTTCTTTCCTTTTTTTTTTTTAAATCAGAGACTCTTTCCCCCTCCGTTTTCTCCTTTCACAACTGTGCTTGAGTAGAAGGGTTGTTTGCAGTAGGGAGATGTTTAAAGCTCTGTGGCCTTGGGATATAGGCAGAAAAAACTTGCGAGAAGTGGAAAATACTGCACGTGTGGGGCTCAGGACCTCAAGTATATTTTGGACCCTGCTCCCATTCATATCCTACTTAAAAAAAAACAACTAAAAAGAAAACCCTGGAAGCATTCATTTCTTGTACCTTCCCATGCCTTTCACTGTCTGCAAAGCCTTTGCATTGCCATTATAAATTCCAGAGTTATTGTAGGCTACACAGACAAGCTCATGATAAACATGAATCCCGATGCACCCCAGGGTCAAAATCACTGTCCATCGCAGAGTCAGTCAGCCAATTAATAAATATTTGTTAAGTGCCTATTATGTGCCAGGCACTGTGCTATGTGCTGGAGCATAATATTAAGTTAGGAAACGGG